ACTTCGGCTCAGGTCATGATCTCACAATTCGTGGGTTCAAGCCTTGCATCAGGCTCTGTGCTAACAGCTAGCTTAGAACCTGGAGGCTGCTTCAGATTCTGTATCTCTCTCTCCCTCTGACACTCCCCTGCTCATGCTGTCTCTCTCTCTCTCTCAGAAATAAATAAAACATTAAAAAAAAGTTTTTCTTTTAAATAATAAAGTTGAGAAGTAATTCACATACCATAAAATTCACCATTTTATTTATTGGGTGTGGAGCCCAATGCAGGTCTTGAACTTATGACCCTGAAATCAAGACCTGAGCTTATCCAACTGAGCCACCCAGGTGCTCTTTAATTCCATAACATATTTATAACCAGGTGTCTTTCGAGGGTACCTGGGTGGCTTAGTTGGTTAAGAATCTGACTCTTGATTTTGGCTCAGGTCGTGATCTCACAGTTTGTGTGTTTGAGCCCCACGTCGAGCTGTGCGTTGATGGTGCAGAGCCTGCTTGGGATTCTCTCTCTCTCTCTCTCTCTCTCTCTCTCTCTCTCTCAAAATAAATAAATAAGCATTAAAAAAATTAAAACAACCCAAACAAATAAAATGTCCCTTTTGTTTATTGCCTTTGACTGATCAGTTATTTAGAAAAATGTTGTTTAGCTTTTAGATATTTGAAATTTCTATAAGTACTTGTCATGTTTGATTTCTAACTTAATTTCCTTGTGGTAAGAGGATACACTTTGTATGATCTTGATCCCTTTAAATATATTGGCACTTGCTTTGGGATCCAATATGTGGTCTCTCTTGGTGAATACATTGTATGCGTTAGGAAGGAGTGTGCATTCTGCTGTTGTCAAATGTAGTGTTCCGTAGATGGTATTTATGTGACAGTGGTTCATATCTTGCTGTTTAGATCTTCTATGTTTTCACTGACTTTTGTTGTTGTTGTTGTTGTTGGCTGGTTCTAGTAATTGCTGAGGGAGTGGTGGCAAAATCTCCCATTATGATTGTGGAATTGTCAATTTTTTTCTTTAAATCCAGTTAATTTTAGCTTTATGTATTTTGTTTTGTTTTTTAATTTTTTAATGTTTTATTTAATTTTGAGAGAGAGAGACAGCATGAGCAGGGGAGGGGCAGAGAAAGAGGGAGACACAGAATCCGAAGACAGGCTCCAGGTTCTGAGCTGTCAGCACAGAGCCTGACAAGGGGCTTGAACCCCGAACCATGAGATCATGACCTTAACCGAAGTCGGATGCTCAACCGACTGGGCCACCCAGGCACCCCAAGCTTTATGTATTTTGAGGCTCTGTTGTTAAGTATATACACATTTATAATTATCTTTTCTGTTTGTGTCCTTTTAGTGTTATGAAATATCCATCTTTATCTATGGTAAAAAACCTTTGTCTTGAAGTCTATTTTATCTGGTATTGAAATATTCTCATTCTAACCTTCTTATGTTTAGTATTTCGATAGCGTATCTTTTACTATCCATATTACTTTCTACCTACTGATGTCTTTCTAGTTGAAGTGTTCCTTATAGGTAGCATGGAGTAGGGTCTCGCTTTTTTATTAATTTTGCCAGGTTTTGCTTCTAAACTGAAATGCTTAGACTGTTAACATTTAACAAAATTATTGATATGGTTGGATTTAGGTCCAGGATTTTATGTATTCATGTATGATCTTTATTTTTTATTCCTCTATTCTTCCTTTACTGCCTTTTAAATATTGCTTAAATAGTTTTGGCATTCTACATTTTTCTAGGTATTGTATTTTTGATTATATTTCTTTGTATTTTTTTAAAAAATTATTTATTTTGAGAGAGAGCGTGGGAAGGACAGAGAGAGAGGGATGGAAAGAATCCCAAGCAGGCCCCATCCTATTAGTGTGGAGCTTGACATGGGGCTTGAACCCAGGAACCATGAGACAATGACCTGAGCCGAAATCAAGAGTCAGATACTTAACCAACTGAGCCAGCAGGTGCCCCTCTCTGTACTTTTTTTAGTAGTTACTCTAAAGATAACAACATGTATATTTAATCTTTCATAGTCTTTTTTGAATTAACATTGCCCTTAACATAATGTTACACCTAACCTAAAATTTAGAAACCTTGCAAGCATGTAAGTCCCTTTCTTTTGTTCTAACCTTTTTGTTATTGTCCTGTGTATCCCATAGATATACATTAAAACACCACAAGACAGTGTTTTTGCTTTTGTTGTGCTTTACATCATAATACCAGTTTTCATGAGTTTAAGGGGAAAAAAGCAGTCTTTTATATTTCCCCATGCCCTTTCTTCATTCCTGAGAATCCCTGTAAGCCCCTGGCAAGTTTCCCTATAGCCTCAAGAAATTCCTTTAGCATTTTTTGTCAAGCAGACCTACTGGCTATGCATTTTCTTGGTTTTCGTTCATTTGAGAATCTCTTTATTTCACTTTCATTCCTAGAGGATATGTTTGCTGGATATAGAATTCTGGTTTGAAATTACTTTTTTCTCAGTACTTTGAGGACGTGCTACTATCTTCTTGCCTCCCTAGTTTCTCCTTTTTTTAAAAATTTTTAATGTTTATTTTTGAGAGTGAGAGAGAGAGAGACAGAGTGTGAGTGGGGAGGAGCAGAGAAAGAGGGAGACACAGAATTTGAAGCAGGCTCCAGGCTCTAAGCTGTCAACACAGAGCCCAACGCAGGGCTCAAACTCACGGTCCACGAGATCTTGACCTGAGCCAAAGTTGACTGAACCACCCGGGTGCCCCTTGTGTGTTCTTTAGGATGGATAATTTTTACTGTTCTATATTTACCGCCAAGTTCACCACTTCCTTCGTCCTTCCCATTCCATTGTTGAGCCCATTAGTGAATCTGTTACTTCAGATGTTGTATTTTTCTGTTCTAAAATTCTTTCCTTAAAAAAGAGTTTCCACTTGTCTGGGAAGAATTCTTGTCTTTTGTTCATTTCAAGTGTGTTTTTCTTTACCTTGTGAGACAGAGTTATGATCATTATTTAAAGTCTTTGGTAATTCTAGCATTTGAATCATTTTGGGGTTGGCCCCCATTGATTGTCTTTTCCCTTGAGAATTGGACATGTTTTATTGATACTTGTACATTGAGTAATTTTGTATTGTATGCTGGACATGTGAGTGAGATGCATGGAATAAAATCTACTGGAGGATGCCAGTATTTTTTTAAGTAGTGTTTTTTTAATGTTTTTAAATTTTTTTTTATTTTTTTTATTTATTTTTATTTTTTTTATTATTTTTTTATTTTTTAAGGTTTTTTAAATTTATTTCTAGAGAGAGAGAGCGTGAGCAGGGGAGGGTCAGAGAGAGAGGGAGTCACAGACTGAAACAGGCTCCCGGCTCTGAGCTGGCAGTCAGCACAGAGCCCGACGCGGGGCTCGAACCCACGAACCGTGAGATCATGACCTAAGCGAAAGTCGGACGCTTAACCGACTAAGCCACCCAGGCGCCCCTTAATGTTTATTTTTGAAAGAGAGACAGAGAGACACAGAGTGTGAGTGGGGAAGAGGCAGAGAGAGAGGGAGACACAGAATTTGAAGCAGGCTCTAGGCTCTAAGCTGTCAGCACAGAATCAGATATGGGGCTAGAACTCACAAACAGTGAGATCATGACCTGAGCTGAAGTCAGACGCTTAACTGACTGAGCCACCCAGGTGTCCCGGGATGTCAGTATTTTTGTTTTAGCATGTAGTGAATCTGCTTTGATTCAGACTTCAGCTTCCTTTTTGCATTCTGAGGATGGCAGTTAAAATCTCAGTTCCATTCGCTAAGTCTTTGCTGTGCTGGTTTAGGTCTGGTGCACACGTGTCTAGTTTAGGGGTTGGGCGGAGGCTTGCATGAGTTCATACACAGAATTAGAAGATTTACTGCTTTGACACTCCTCCCTCTGGGATTTCATCCACGTTTTCCCAGGCCTGCAGGGAATTCCGTTTCCTGATTCCTTAGGCAGAAGCAGTTTCTACTGAAGGTTTGGCCATCCCATGACTGGGACTTTCCCTGGGGGCAGAGCATACCAGTAACCCCAACCTTGTGGTGGTTTCTCAGATTTTAAGTCCCCTACATAAGCCACTTGACTTTGTTTACTTTTCAGCATCCTTGGGCAGCTGATTTTTGTATCTTGCTCAAAGTTTTCAGTTCTAATTGGCAGGAACAATGAGCTGCCATGGGCTTATATGATCATGGTAGAATTCAAACTCCAGTTGGTTAATTTAAAAAAAAATTTTTTTAATGTTTTATTTATTTTTGAGCGAGAGATAGAGACAGCATGAGCAGGGGAGGGTCAGAGGGAGAGGGAGACACAGAATCCGAAGACAGGCACCAGGCTCTGAGCTAGCAGTCAGCACAGAGCCTGACGCGGGGCTCGAACCCACAAACCGTGAGATCATGAACTGAGCTGAAGTGGGACGCTCAACCAACTGAGCCACCCAGGCGCCCCAAGTTAGTTAATTTTTAATTTTTTTTTATGTTTACTTTTGAGAGAGAGAGAGAGAGAGACAGAGACAGAGTGCAAGCAGGGAAGGGACAGAGAGAGACAGAATCTGAAGCAGGCTCTAGGCTCTAAGCTATCAGCACAGAGCCTAATACAGGGCCTGAAATCACAAGCTCTGAGATCACAGCCTGAGCCGAAGTCACATGTTCAACTGACTGAGCCACCCAGGTGCCCCTCCGGTTGGTTAATTTTTAATCTCTGGTTGGTGAGAGTCACAGATTTGGGTTTGACTCCTACCTCTGCTATGTCTAGTTGGTCCCTTTGACACAAACCCTCGTTTCTTCATTTGGGGGAAAAAATTAGGATATAAGAATGTGCTGTCCCATCCCGAGGGTCGTGTGGAGCAAACGAGGTGATGGATATGATTGTGCCCTGGAAACTGAAAAATCACATTCAAGTGGTTGGCGTTGCTACTGTGTGTTCACGTGTGTGCCCGTGTATGTGTGCGCCCGTATGGCGTGCATGGATTCTGCCTGGTCATGTCCACAGCAGTGGCATCAGCGCTGGCTTTTCCTCTTTAGGCACTTCCTGGACCTCACTACTATACTTGGGGAGATCATGGCGGCATCATCATGGCCATCGCCCAGGGCATGGAAACCAATGAGCTGAAGTAAGTGTATCCGATGGAGCTTTGTCTCATAACATCCCTCTGCTCTCCCCAAAATTTAAGTCTGTGAGTATAAGTGGATTGTCTCTTTACAGCACTAGATTGTTGACGGCCCCATTTGTGACCTCGGCATAATAAGCCCTTATTTATAAAATGGGAATGATAATCTGCCTTTCCTATCTCAAGGGGATATCATAAGGAACAAATGAAATAATTTCATTGATCTTACGAAGTATAGCTCTCTATAAATATAAGTTAATAATGACCAAACAGTTAAGTAGGGACTTTAACTTGTCTTTCTTTGCTCTGCGTGTGACACAGAATGAGTGATAATAAAAACAGTCCATAGTAATAAATGATCATCATACCCAGGTAATCATTTCAAAATGCATCCCACTTGATAACCAGTTGATTTCTGCTGGGATCTATTTGGTTTTGGGATTCATATGAACAGACCTAGAAGGGACACTTGGGGTTACATGCTTCATGTTACAAATGAGAATATTGAGGCTCAGCAAGATAAAGTCACTTGCCGAAGCTTTCACCCATTCGTGAGTGATGGGCCAGACTGGTGCTCATATTAAACTGCATTTTGGGGCACCTGGGTGGCTCGGTTGGTTAAGTGCCCGACTTCAACTCAGGTCATGATCTCACGGCCTATGAGTTCGAGCTCCACATTGGGCTCTGTACTGACGGCTCAGAGCCCAGAGCCTGCTTCGGATTCTGTGTCTCCCTCTCTTTCTCTGCCCTACCCCTTTCATGCTCTGCCTCTCTCTCTCGTCTCTCAAAAATAAATACATAAAAGAAAAAAAAAAAAAGAAAAAGAAATCTGTACTCCTTGCAGATGTATTGCCCTCGAAAGCAAAAACGTCCAGGGTCTATAACCTTTGCCTGCTTAAGTCTGATTTTATCAGAACTGGCCCTTTGATTATATTGGTCTATGTTTGTACAAAAGTTAATTTTATTAATGTTACGTCAGGGCAGACAGGCTGTCACTTCTCCCCATTTTTAAAAAATGTTTATTTTAGGGGTGCCTGGGTGGCTCTGTCGGTTAAACATATAACTTTGACTCAGGTCATGATCTCATGGTTTGTGGGTTCGAGCCTCCATCGGGCTCTGTGCTGATAGTCTAGACCCTAGAGCCTGCTTTGGATTCTGTGTCTCCTTTTCTCTCTCTTTCCTTCCCCCACTCATGCTCCGTTTCTCTCTCTCTCTCAAAAAATAAATAAACATTAAAAAATTTTTTAAGAAAATAAAAAAGTTTATTTTGAGAGAGAGAGCAAGTGCACATGCATGCATGCTAATGGGGGAGGGACAAAGAGAGAGAGGGAGACAGGGAATCCCAAGGAGGCTCCTCTCTGTCAGCACAGGGCTCAAACCCTGAGCCTGACACAGGGCTCAAACCCACAAACCGTCAGACCATGACCAGAGCCAAAATTAAGAGTCAGACGTTAATTGTGTGAGCCCCTGAGGCGCCCCCAGTTCTGAGCTGAGCCCACAAGCTGTATCACTAATGGAGGTGGAGAGGCTTCGCTCATCGTCTTGTTTAATGCAAGGAAGAAAGCCTTCTTTTCCTTTGCTCCTTTTAGAAACAGGGTGCAAAAGCAAGAGAGAGGTGGGTGGCTTGAGAAAAGAGGTCTTAGCATCTGGTTTCCCCTGTGGTGGATTTGCCCTGTGCAGAGGAGCTCAGAGACTCAGAGAGAAGCGAATGACTGGCGTCTGGCTGTTCTCCATCCCGTTCGGCACTGGTCAGCTGCTTCTCTACAGGCAAGAGCCAGAAGAGGTCCTGTTTGTACACAACACTGTCTCCACATTCCAAGCGCTCCCATGAGCACAGTCACCGAGCACTGTGCTTCCCACATTTGAGCTGCCATTTATTTATCTCTCCATCCACTTATTTATTTATCCATTCATTTATCCATTCCCATCTTGCACAATTAGCAAACCGGAATTGTGCTGGGCACCTCGCATCTAGAGACAAATAGCAAGTTTCCCCTCACTTGTTAAGGAGTCCATCCTCCAGGGGTAAGATACTCAAGTAAACAAACCATGTGACATTTGGGGCACTGCCGTGTGAGACATACAGTAGGGGACACGGTTTGGCTTTCTGCACATCCCATGTCATTGGTTGAGTGGCAGTCCGAGCGCAGAGGCAGTTTCTGGTCCTCCTTGTTTAACTTCTCTGCAGATTCTGTTCGCATTCAGGCTGGCTTCCCTGAAGCAGTTTCGCATGACTCTGGTCCTCTCACACCATCTGTCGGTGCACACGTGCTTAGGGAACGCGGTGTCAGTGCTGCACTAGCAGGAGCAGCACACGGTCAGGAAAATAAACCTGCTGCCAGAAAATCACCGTGTCTTCCCCAGATACTTCAAAGGGACCGTGGGGTTGTGGCCTTGAGGGCTTATGAGCACCGTGGCACCCTTGAATTTCCACAGGTTACTTAGAGGTATCCATATGGATGGTTCAAATAAAGCATTTGCAAATACGAGAATATCTTCAGGCCTTCTACCGACAGGCGCATGTGTCCCAGATATCAGTCTGAGCTTGACCTGAATCTGTAGCCACCTGGCGTGTATGTTGCTTTCAGAGGTTTTTTGGTTTTTTGTTTTTGTAGTTTTTTTCATTTTTTTTGTTTTTTGTTTTTTGCTGCTTCTCCTGCTGCTTTGGTTTTCACCTGTCACCATGTGCTATCAGCTTCATCAGAAGAGAAGCAGGAAATAATGCTGTAGTTAGTTTATATCCTCAGACCACAGCGGTGACTTAACTGTGATCCCAGAGCATAAGCGGAGGATTTCTGTTGCTGGTCTAGATGTGTCAGGGCCCTCCAACCCTGGCCTCCCTGACCACTGAGATCCAGTCTCCTTGAGATGCACAGTGTTTATTGGCAGTCTTATTATTTGGGCATTGACCCCATATGGACCTCCTTCGTTAGTTACCCTTTCGCTACATACCTGAATTCTTTAACTCGTTAGCAAGGTCTTTGACCCAGTGTTTCTCTTCTGTACAGGCTAGCTGTGCTTGGTCAATGTTTGATTGTTCAATAAATAGGTCATGCACAGTTAGTCTTGCAACATTGTTTATTCCTTTACTGATTATTTATTTATTTAGCATTTATTTACTTTTGAGAGACAGAGCATGAGCAGGGGAGACGCAGAGAGATGAGAGGACCCAGAATCCGAAGCAGGCTCCAGGCTCTAAGCTGTCAGCACAGAGCCTGATGCGGGGCTCGAACCCTTGAACCGTGAGATCTGAGCCGAAGTTGTATGATTAACCAGCTGAGCCACTCGGGCGCCTCACTGTACTGATTTATAAAACAAGGAGGGGTGCAGGAGTGTGGCAGGTGCACAGTTCTGAGGGGACCGCTCCCACCATGCTGTATGTAAATGGCAATTGCTGGAGCTCAAGTAGAAATGGGGGGGGGGTGAAGTCCCCCTGATGCGTGCAACCCAGAGGCACAAGGGCTGACCCAATCTACCTTCCTCACTTTTCACCTGAGGAAATAACGTGGCGGTAGTTAGGGCCCAAGCTGGAACTCGAGCATATTTCTGTTAGATACCATTTCAGGTCAATTACATGAAATTTGTTGAACACATACAACGAACCGGATGCAGTTCTAGGTATTGAGGATGCAGAAGTGAGTGAGGCATCATTCAGGAGCTGCCTGTGCCCACCGTGGCTCTGTTATGTCTCTGAGTCAGCTACCAAGAGAGTCCAGGGGAAGGACTTGTTTTGAAAGGGAGCTTTCTGACCCAAAGCCTTAGGGAAAAAAGCCATCATCAGGAACATCAAGAACTCTCGTAAGACTTTTAGTAGGGACAAAGGTTGGAACATTGCTTAACGTAGGAGTTAGGTATTTATTTCGTCTTGTTTTGGTGGTGGTTCTTTTAAATTATACATGTCTTGGGGCACCTGGATAGCTCAGTTGGTTACGCATGCGCCTTTGGCTCAGGTCATGATCTCACGGCTCATGAGTTCAAGCCCCACATCAGGCTCAGTGCTGACACCTCGGAGCCGGGAGACTGCTTCAGATTCAGTCTCCTCTCTCTGCCCCTCCTCTGCTCGAGTTCTCTCCCTCTCTCTCTCTCAAATATAAATAAACATTAAAAAATTTAAATTATTTACGTCTTTCTTTTCCTGATTAGCACAGAGTTGGCTGTTACTGGGTTTCAGCCTCTGCCTTGTCTCTCCGCTGAGGCTGTTACCTTTGTTATTGTTAATTGAAACTTAGAGCACCAAGTGGAACGCTTTGTTTTTTGCTCTTGTGTCTGCATGTCTGAAATGAGTAACTAAAGAACCCCTTTTGGGGATTCACTTATTCATCCGATCAGCACGTTATCACCATGAACCTTCTCGGGGATGCACGGTTTTCTTGTGTATAATCAGTGTGTTCTTCAGAGAAGCAGCTGCTGTGTTCTTGTGCTCTGAGTAAAAAAAAAAAAAAAAAATTTAAAAGACCGAAACATAGGTTTGTTGGCTTGACTGTGAAAGACAAGATCATTTTCCGTTTTTCGGTGGGTTTACCTGCCATCAGAAGGTTATTCTTGGTAGGTTACTAATAACATTTTGGACTTGCCCAAAAGCATCTTTCCTCACAGGAGATTTCTGACTGAATATAAGGCTTTCCTCTCAGGGCCTCAAAAAGACAGTGCAAAGATCCCAGTTGCAATGCAGCTGTCTTTTCTGGACCTGAGTTCTGGAAGCAGCCCCCTGGTTCCAGAATGTGGAAGGTGGCAGTTAGCCTGCATGCTTGGTGGCAGCGTTAATGCTGGTGGCACCACTTACTGGGACAGTGGCAGAGAGCCCCCCCCCCCCCCGCTTCATTTTAATCCTCATGTGGTCTCTTCGGCCTTTGGGTTATAATGAAGCACGTAACTATTACCTTGTAACTTTAAGCAACTGAGTGGTGGGATTCAGAAAATGCAGTGCAGTTCATGTAATTTCCTTTAGCAAGTGTTAACGAACGTCCCTTCTGTGTACCAGGAAAGGTGCCAGCTGCCAGGGG